GAGCCAGGGCAGCGAAAGTTGGGTCTGCAGGGGGCACTGCCTGTGCTCATTCTAGGCGCTCTCCGGCTCCAGCGTCTCTTCTGCAGGCTCCTTGCGCATCCTTCGGGGGACGAGGCCGGGGGCGGGTCGATGGTTCCCCGGGAAAGTGGGGTCTGCAGGGGGCACTGCCTGTGCTCATTCTAGGCGCTCTCCGGCTCCAGCGTCTCTTCTGCAGGCTCCTTGCGCATCCTTCGGGGGACGAGGCCGGGGGCGGGTCGATGGTTCCCCGGGGTCGCTGGCTTTCAGGTAGCCATGCTGTCAGGAGGCTGGTGTCAGCCATGCCCAGCCCCTTCCTCCTATCTGCCACCTGGCTGGGCATCTCGGGTACCCCGCGGGGCTGCAGGGACGGGCTGCGTTTGCTCCTGCTCTTGGGCTGCAGGCAGCCAGAGCCCTCGGCCACCCTGGTTAGATGCCAGGCGAGAGCAGCGGGTGTCGCTGAGGGCACAACGGGCCGCCAGGCAGCTGCAGCAGCCTCAGTTAACACCTTCCCAGTATGTATCACTCAAGTCCCGCCATTCTCTGCTCCCCCCACATCCACCCACCCACCTCCTGGCCCCAGGCACCCTCGGCTCCCCTGGGCCAGGCCAGGGAGGGTAGCTGGGAGATCAGGTTCCTTCCTGTGGGTGCCTGCCTCTCCTTCTCCCTTTCCACTGCCTGGCAGGAAGGAAATGGTGTGGGGGGGGGGGGACCGGCAGCAGACGGACACGACCTTGTCCTGCCTCCTGAACCCCCCAGCCGGTGGGAGCCCGGCTCCGCTCTCCTCCCCCAGCCCACGAGTCCCAGGAGAGGTTCACACGCACACTCCTAGCTCACTCGCGCACTGTCGCACGCCCATTCTCTGCAGCCATTCTCCAAGGATGCTCCGCCCCCACTTTGCCCGTAGGCTCTGCCTCCTCATGCCGCCCTCCCCGAAGCCCCGCCCTGGCCCCGCCTCTTCCCAACACTGCCCCGCCCCCTCCTGCGGCTGGCCCACCTGCTGCTTGCTGCTCCCTCCCTCCCTTCCCCAAGTGCCTCCTGCCACCTGCCAAACAGCTGTGGCAGGTGGGTGCTGACCATTCCGTGTTTGTGCCCATGGGTGCAAGCTCCCTGAATCAGCCCGGAGTCAGTGCCTGTCAGCACCCCCTGCATGCACACGCTTTGCACACACGCATGCCCCTGCTCATTTGCACCGAGACCTGCTCCCCTGACACCGTGGCAGGCACGTGGTTCTATCATATCAAATGCTTCTTTTTATAACAGGGCGCCCTCGCCC